TACTTATAATCACTTTTTGGAGTGAAGAGATTTTAGAATGTTGATGATAGCATACCTGGACATAAACCATGCTAGTAAACAAATCATACAATAAATAATGTAATTTGTGATAAATCATTTCAACGTCCTACCCTACCACTTAGCATATAAATTTTTCTTTCAACTATTTTCATTTCAAATAAGCCATTGGCAGCTTTTTAAGGAAAACGGATTATTTCATGATGCTTAACATTTAATATTCTGACGTCATTTTCGGAGTTATGTCATAAAAGTTATTACGTGACATCAAAATATGTGTATATTTTTTTTATTTTTCCAACGATATTTCACTTAATAATAACGTTATTTTTTTAGTAACCAGTTGTCAGAACTTTTGAAATTCCCCTCGTAAGCATGAAAAACGTCAGTAAGTTTTTGACTCCATGATAGTTTGTATTTGCTTATCAAAAATAAAAAAGTAACAATGAACTGTAGAAGTTATATTTTCGGAAAATCTAAACTTAATTATGTTTTATGTTGACAATCCTCTACACATATTAATAAGTATAGGTACCTTTGTTTACAAAATATAACAATATGATTGAAAAGCATATCATATTAATAAATATCGCCTGTTTTTAATCGAAACCGACGCAAAGCATAAAGCATATTTAATATTTTACAGAAATGGGATAGCTTTTCGCAGGTTTAGTCCAAAAAGACACTTATGTCTGCGACAATAATCCAAAGTCAATAAATGTTGTCGCTAAAAACTCCCACCCTTATTTTTAACAAGTCATTGTTTATATTTTTACCATTGCTTAAATATTGAATGTAGAAGAATCAAGATTAATCTTTTTTTTTTCTTCAATTTTGATGAGATTTGCAAGACAGTTTTCTTGATCAATTCAATGTTTGCCTTTACAGTTATTCGGTACATAAAAATACAGATAAATCACTAAAGACATATTTATGCACTTTCATATTCTAATGCCAGATTCCCCTGTGATGTTTGAAATGTATTTCTTTGATAATGCATATACTTCAGATGTGTTGTAGAGCAAAACAAGCCGTTCATAGGTTGTGGGACATTGTGCAAAAAGAACCTGTGTATATATAAAGCAAAACGAGGTGTGTAGGAGAGGGAAAGATCAAGATGAACTATGATGTAAAATTCAATATTCCCCATGGGTGCGATTATAAACTTATAAGCTTTAGAAACAGATTTTTTTTTTGCTTATATTATAAAAGTGCACATAGGGAAATGAGGCGTTTATATCTAGAAAGCCGTTGATTATCGCAAATTATTATTTTTTCAATACGTAGAAATCTCATCAAAAATAATAAAAAAAAAATAATCCGTATTCGCAATGCACATTATCAATTTCGTGAATGCTTATAATCCCTCAAATATGCAATATTTTAACTGTGTCATGATATTATTAAAATTATCCCACTAAAAAATAATGACAGGGAAGATGACTATTTTTCTAGTGAAAGTAACAAAAATTTCCGCCATTTTGTTGAAACAATAAAAAATTGTTTGAAGCGTAAAAGAAATAATATCATGAGCGTGAAATACAATATGCTAAGCGCGACGAAAAACAAGCGTCGATGCGAGAGCGATCGCAACATGGAAAGACAATAATGGGTCCTGTACGATTATAAAACGGAGTCCCTTTGTAACTGTTAGATGGTAAGTAAAGATTACTATTTTTCATGGATGGACAAGTAAGTAACTTGTAATCATTTCATAAAAAAAATCACAATTCAGCTGTTAGTAAACTATGTTCAGTGAGTACAGTCAAAATGAAAATCGAACTAGTGCTTTCAAAGAAATATAGAGTTCGAATAGTTTCTGTACTTTCATATTAAAAGAAAATGTGTGTATTCTGTCTGTATATATTATGCTGTAGATCTAAGGAGGTTGTTCGGACAAAGACGCAGGATGAAATAGAAATGTTTTTTTAACACTGAACTCAACGTTATTCATGCTTAATTGCAGAACCTTAATAACTTGCAGTATAAGACATTATTTTTTCCACTGTTTATTATATTTATATCTAGATAATTTAATTTATATTTTTTCCTATTGCACAAAATAAATTATGCCTTTTCCTTGAGAACATAAATTATCTTTTTTTCAATTTGCTTCGTTTGATTGCTTGAATTGATGGGATCTGCGACATCAGCTATACGATGGGTTTGGCTGATGGCAAAAGCAGTGAGTTCGCGTCCAAGTTTTTTCCATTTTTCAACATATTTCACTGAATCAAATGGATTGGGTACGTTAAAGGTTCCTGAATTATTTTTTAAATTGTTCACAAACTTTTATTTTTAGTGATTTATGTAGTTTTATGGCATATCCATCATGAAAGATGTGGAGTTTAACACGATCACGTTTTAATAAGGTAAAAAGGTGAAGATTGCATGAAGTACCCCATAAAACGTACAACTTGGTTGCCACCGAGATAGGAATAGTGTGTTACCACTTTTATATGCATCTTTGCAATTTATAATGTTGAGGAATTTATGTTCAGGTACTTTACAAGCAGCAAATTGATTTGTTGTAGTGCACACGTTAAATTATGCTTTGGTAACCGTATTATTATATTTCAAACCAGAGGTACATGTACTTTGAGCACGATTCCTCCAACAATGAAAAAAATTATTTTAACGAAGAAGAAAAAACATGATTTTAAGGCTACTTTTGATGCAAAAACTAATGACGTATGACTTTACTATGCAAGCCGAGTCAACTTTAAACTTTATTATTTTAGCCAAAAGATAATTTCACCTTATGGAATTGAATTTTGTCAAATTTTTATTTCTTGTAGGCTTTAAATTTGAATTTCTCTAAAACAAATATGTGTCATACATATACATGTACGCTTTGTTACATACAAAATTTGCACCATGTCTGTCATGTTACTATATTCCTTGAGCAATACCCGTTTGAAACGAGTCATTTAAATTTATATCATTCAAAGCTTATCTTTTATTCTTAGAAATAACAATACACAAGATACTATTATTTCTGAAAATACTAATGAAATTTAAAAGCAAAATTATTTCATATAAATCAAATCCATAATAACGTAACATATACGGATGCATGCAACCCTGACAAACTCGTTTTAAAAGCTTCAAAAAATGACAACATTATTTAATTGTTAAAGTTTTATAGACAAATTATGTTGTACAATAATATTCTTGAATAAAATATCTTTTTGGTTTAATTCACGGAATGCTGAAATATGAATGTACCCGTTTGATTCACGTAATATGAACAGACATTCGTATTGTCAGTTATCGTTACGATGGTCCGGTATTCAGGCAATAAGAAATTTCAAATTTCATGTAATTGAGAACAACGTTTATTTTCTGTCAGTAAGCAAGAAAGATAGCATAGTTTGCAAAACCAGAGTCCCCCTTTATAACAAATTACCTAGAGTAATGACTCCGACATATCCTACGTTCAAAATATAAGTAGAAATAAACAGCAGTTCTTTTATTTGAGACGTAATGTGCCTTAAAATACCATTGAATGTTAATACTATTCTTCCTAAACAATAGTGAATGAAGATATTCTGTATACAAGGTACATGTATCAACGCTGTATATTCTTTTATTTTGAAATGGTTGAAAATGCCCCCCCCCCCCCTCCCGACATGCGTACATGTAATTCTAGTGGATTCATCAAAGTCATTTCAAGAAAAAAGTAAGTTGATGATAAAAATCTGCATATTTTATTTTTTTATATATGTCTATGTATGCAGTATACTTTTCAATATCAACATTTTTTTTTATTTCATTTTTTAAAACAATCTTTTAAATACTCCTCTTGCTAAACTCATAGGTCTATAGCTAGATGTGCGCAATAGTTAATTTAGAGACAATTTCATTTGAAGACGAAGATGTTGCGTCTTTAGGCTTTTTAACGCATATTGAGATTGCAGATTCAAAGTGGGAAAAAACATAGAAAATATTATCATTATATCAGACGGTTCAGATTGGAAAGGAGATCTCAATCCACCAGGCCCTTCTGAGACAAAAATCCACAAACAATGGATATGGGTTGCAGGTGAGTACTTTGCTATTTGATTCCATAATTTGAGATACAAAGATGTGCTACAAAAAATGCGAGTAGGACAATTCACCCTTTGTTTTGTTTGTTTGTTTGTTTGTTTTTTTTTTATTTTGGTAAAAAAAAATCTTTGAACGCTTTTCTAGAAAGATAGCGAATTCGTCCCAAATACACGAATAGTAATTTACTAGTTACATCATTTAATCTAGTGACTCCTTTTCTTCTAATTCGTGTAAACACTAAACGTAAATTAAAGAATCAAACAAGTATCAAATTGTGGCATTTATTAAAAAATATATTAACAGTATTAATTTAAATCGTACCTGTTTATATGAAAAATTTAATATATATGTTGCCATGTGTATTAGAGTTTCACAGTAGCACACAATGTATTATCATCTCCTCTAGTATTATCACAGTTGTATGCTCATCACATAAACAGATAAAAATGTATTAATATAAAAATGTTTAAATATTCTCATTATTAAAAAGTCCAATGTATTGCAAACAGTAATTAAACTAAATAGAAGATAATCACAGAAGTTGACATTAAATACGCAGAGTAAATTCGCCGTGCAGCTCTTCAGAGGATAACAAAGTGTATAAAAACAAGACATATTAATTGTTAATTGTTATGACGACACAAATACATAATTATATATTGATAAAAACATTTTTACATTTTACAAACAAAACGTTTTATCCCCACATGGCTAATAATAACAACATTATACATGTATCATCAAAAACGTTAATAAATTTTCTTAAATTTACTCATCCAGTTTTGATTAATTGTTTGATATCGAGAAGTGTAAGTTAGATTGTCAGCATTTTCATATAATTCTTTTCTTTGTAACTCTGCTTTAACATTGTTAACAAACATTAAATGTACGTCATGTGTCATTACATAGCTATTTATTTTAACTGTAGTGTCATATATACAGTGTAATCTGGGTTTTCGTATACCGTCCATCATACGATTATAAGCTTGTGACAGCGTGTTTTTATCAATAGAGGTATCACTTATTAAAAAAAAAAAACATTTGAATTAATTTTCAAATTTTTTTCATAATTTTTTTCCATACCAAGTATTAAGAATAAGGGTTTGTATATATTTATTACACAAAGGCTTTTCCACAGTGCTTCCCATTTGGTCAAGCGTGCTATTCATGTATAAATTAACCCATGATTGGTGAGAAGTTTACTACTGTTGTATTTTTAGACACTTAAAAAAGATCCTTAAGAATTGAGCAGAGTATTGATTGACTCCAGTATTGATCTCTTAATTTTTGATTTACCAGAACTTTGGAACATTTGGACAAATATTAAACAGATAAACAGTTAACTTTATTAAAATTTTTAACAATATTTATTATGAGCATTAAGTGTGAAAATTATGTGAATGAGATTTGAGTAAACAGTTATCTTTCATACGTTTTAAATACGTTGTCAATAATAAGTCATACTTATTTTATGATAATTTATCATAGATATGGCTGACTGAGAAGGGAATCATATACAGATCAGCTAGGTTCATAAACCATACCGTCGCCTGAGAATTATAAGGTTCTATGTGCCAACATGGTCAAAAAGAGTTATGCATATCGTTGGAATCGGCTCGCTGAGATCTATCTCCCTATGAACTAGAGTCGCGAAGTAAGGAGTCAATCTTTACGTCGCGGGTTTGAGTCCCACTGTGGGACGTGGAGACCGGTCTTTCGGATGAGACGTATAAACCGAGGCCCTGTGTCGCAGTAGGTGCTGGCAGGAAAAAGATCACTCACTGCTCAAAGGCCCTGAGTGCCGAGCATAGGACAAAATTTGTAGCCCTCCACCGGCAATTGGTGGCGTCTCCATATGAGTGAAAAATTCTCGAGAGGGACGTTAAACAACATACAATCAATTAATCTCCTGATGAAATCCCTTTGTTCCTTTGGACAAAAATGAAGAAGACATTAACAGTAATTTTAGTTCTATCTCCATTTTATGCAAATTAATAAATATTAGAGGGTTCTATCTCCATAATATCCAATCATAATGCATACCTTTGGACACGTGATCTTATCAATGGAAAACTTGATGGGGGGGGGGGGGGGTCACTGTGAAGATACTTAAACTTATTCATATTTAAAGAAAGGTATTTATAAATTCAGTTTGAGACTTTGCTGAAGCATGTGATGACGGTCAGCTGGGTATCATTGGTTTCTGAAGCAATCGCATTTTAGTACAAAAGAACTGGACCTCTGGTCTCACAAAATTAGTTTTGAGAGGCTGTTATAATCATTTTTAGGCAGCTTTCCTCTTAAAACTCAGGGATATTATATAATAAATTTCAACAGATGACCAATTTAGCCTCACCCTGAGGCATGAGCGCTGGATACAAAATAATGACATAGATTTGAAAATTTTTGGAAAGGAATTTAGAGCCTATTTTAATGGCCAGTGGCCCAGATTGCAATTGGGTCCGAATGCTAGGACCACGAGCCATAACTTTTTAAAAAGTTTTTGTTAAAGAAACTGGGTATATACATGTCCATCATTTGTGTTGTGTTCTACATAAGTACATGTAGGGAAGATATTTTAATGGGTTATGTATTTTAATTTACATCCAATTTAGTCCTACCCAAGGGTCTGAACCAAGGGCTATCTTTTTAGAAGGCTGTGTTTATTTTTATCATATAAAAAGTTGCCTGTTGATGCTCATCTTTTAATATTTTTCATATATATAAACAATGAGAACCATAAGGGCTGAAAAACATTGACACAGGGACAAGGACTTGGTTTTCATAGTTTTGGTAAAGGGCGATTTATAATTAAGCAAACATTTGCCTGGTAGATATCAATTAGGAAAGAAGAAAGGTTTTGAAGCATCTTTAACAACCTTCTCTTCATCCATTTCTATCAAACCCAAGAATGTCAGAGAACATGAAAATTCACAATTAGATAATTTGTTTGATTTAATAATATTACCTGAATATTTTTTATCCATTAATGATATTCTAATACCCTACAATTGGTTGAAGTGCATTGGTATTGTTATTCAGGAGTAGAAACTGAAAATGTTTAACAATTTACGTTTGAAGAAGTTACCGACCAGAACAATGGAAACGGCTAGCAAAACGCACCGGAAAGTTCAGGTGATATTCTCTTGTTGTTCAACTTATTTTTTTTTTTCAAAAAGATCAGAAACTTTCTTTCTCCTTTTGTTATGTATGATTGTTGTTGTTGTAAAATGATGTTAACGTTTCTAATCAATCAAAAATGCACAATAGAATTTTTTTGTTAAAAAAAATCAATTGAGTGAATTAAAAAAACAGCCCCCAATGAAATGAACGCCCCCTACTATTTTCACATTAATCTTTTGTTCAAAAAGTGAAACATTTTATCAGTTTTCTCCAAAAATAAAAGTTCTATCTCCAGGAGTATTTTAATTCTCACCAAAATGCGCAAAAATATTTGAAAAAAAGTTCTATCCCCATTTTCAATGTCATTTGTTTCATATTCATGCTCAAATTTGCTAAACATTAAATTTATTTTCCCGTAGATTATCTCATTTTATGCATTTATGCCTTATATCATAGTCCAGAATGCTATGAGTAAAAAGATATTCATCCCCGAACTTTAACTTCAATTTCCCAAAATTTTACAAAATTCAGTTAGAACCTTATAATTCTCAGGCGACGGTACATTTATTAAGAATTGTGTTTAGTGAAATTTGTGTATACATGTATTGTGACGTCTATTTGTGTTGAAATAGAATTTCATTTGAATATTAAGAATAGAAATGTTTTTAGTGATAAGTAAATTATTTTATACTGATGAATTTGCATAATGTAATGCATTAAATGATATTTTACGATATTTAAAAGTTATGTGGTAAATGGAAATATTTCCTTTGATCAGAATATTCAGTGTTTTATACAATATTCAAATATTTTATTTTCACAACCTTTAGTTTTTGAATAACAGGATTTGTACTTATTGTAATAATACATTGGTGAAATTGAACCCATTTTCTCGTTGATATTAAAAGCAAGTGATTAACATTCTGGAATTGACCATTCAATTGAATTACACGTTTTTTTGGATATATAATTTCTTCTTTCTCAAAACTTGTCAAAGTTTCATTTAGGAGTTTGTATTCTTAGACCCCATTTACTTGTTATACCTTTTTTTTTAAACTAAGTCTATATATATTGCATTTGCTAAATCCAAATGTTTGACGTTGTAATAAAATTAGCGTAACGTCAGGCTGGTCCGTGCACACAATCTGCGATCATAAAAGACCCCGAATTTTACAAAAAATATTAAGTTTCACCAATAAAAACTATATAAATCTGACTAGGTTTTTCATAAGAAATATTTTGACATACAATAGATGCATATTAAACCATTTATTTTAACAAAAACGTCATTGTCAACGAACTTTTTGGACAACCCTCGTATGCATCTTCATTTTACCGTAGAAACTCCCAGCTATGCTGATCGCGAAGAGGTCTCTAGAAAAATAATAATCAAATATAATTGAATTTTTAGGAATATGTCTCCCCTTTTTGTGATTATTAATTTAATTTTTACAAGATATAAAAATTACCAAACAAGATCTTCTTACCTGAACTTTCAGGTATTTTATCGCCATTGTCTTTCCCTAAATAAGGAAATGAATGAATATAACGTACAAGATTTAATTGGATATCATTACTTGGCCATAGAAAGGAGATGATCTGAAATATTCCAGAAGCTCAATACATGTATACATATACTGTTACAACAGACATTTCAAGTATGAACTTCAATATCATTATAGAATTCTTACTTCGTTATTATCTTGGTCTGTGCATAGACAAATGACGATTACAATTATAGGAATTAAAAAGCTCATCGAGGAAATCCAAAAAGCATCCATATCCTTAGATCTGTAATCTTCCCTGTACAAATATGAATAAAACTAATGAGGAAAGGATTGATAGATGGGATGGATATATGGATCTAACAATAAACAGACAGATAGACAGGCAAACAGACATGCAGGCAGACAGACAGCGCAGGTATGATAAGGCTTCCCAGAGAATATTGTAGTGTACTCTGTGCATGAACTTCTCTGAACTACAAATGTGTGACGTCATAATTGAAAATGACGTCAAATCACTGCATACTTGAGCTGTAATGATGGGGAGAATGTCAAAAACTTTACATCTTTATTTCAATCTGTATATAAAGTTGCGGAATTCTAGTTTAAAATAAACGTGTTTTTATCACTTTTTTTTTTAACTTTATTATATCCGAATAATATAGATAACCTTGCTTTGTTACTCTTGCTTAAGAGTCAGCGTGTTCAAACTCCCTACGAAAATATACGTTTGACATTTACCCTTTTTTATACCCGTGGACAAAGGCACAATTCAAAATATGTGTGTAAAAGAGCCTAGCGCAGGTTGTTTATGAGGATCTATTTAACATCTTTTATGGAATTATGTAAAAGAGGTTCCACTCTAACTGAATCTTGCTTGGGAAATATGGATGGTGGCTTTGTTTTAAAACAGTTGACGATATTCGGTGGAAAATACCCTCAGATTTGCCGGTAAGTTGAAGTTAATCTGAAATAAATTGTTCCAAAGAAATAGTATAACTTTTCCCAAGCACATTTCGGTTTCACAAGTATGCAACGAGTTTATTTATGTGACAAATGTAAATAATAATTGTGCTAACAACCTGCGCCGAAGCGATTTATGTGAAACATTTCAATAAAGAAGAAATGACCGTCACGTGATCAACAAGGTCATGTGACATCGTAACAAAAATGCTTATATATAGCCTTGGGGATCCTCTGTATGAATTTGGCGCACTGAAGTACATAACTTAAAAATAAAACTAAAAATCAACTTTGCAAAAGAGCGTTACGTTTTAAATGCATTTTAAGCTCCGGGTAGCCTTAACAGTACTGCGAGACAGGCAGGCAACCCAGGTAGCACAACAACGTTATTAAAACGTTATAAAAACGTTTTCAAAATGTTATAAAAACATTTTCCAAAAAGTTATTACAACGTTATTTTGTAAGGTTTTTTAAACGTTATCATAACGTTTTTCAAAAACATTGTCCTGCAATGTTTTGAAAACATTTTTGAAAACGTTTTCAAACCGTTTTTAAAAACGTTTTCAGAACATTTCTTATATGTTTTAAATCGTTTAAAAATATTTTACAACATAAAAATCATTGTACTTCCTACAGAAAATATGTCTTCCCTTTTTGTGATTATTAATTTTAATTTTTACAAGATATAAAAATCACCAAACAAGATGTTCTTACCTGAACTTTCAGGTTTTTTTTCGCCATTGTCTTTTCCCTAAATAAGGAAATGAATGAATGTAACGTACGTGATTTAATTGGATATCATTACTTGGCCTTAGAAAGTAGATGATCTGAAATATTCCGGAAGCTCAATACATGTATACATATACTGTTACAACAGACATTTCAAGTATTAACTTCAATATCATTATAGAATTCTTACTTCGTTATTATCTTGGTTTGTGCATAGACAAATGACGATTACAGTTATAGGAATTAAAAAGCTCATCGAGGAAATCCAAAAAGCATCCATGTCCTTAGATCTGTCATTTTCCCTGTACAAATATGAATAAAAATAATGAGAAAAGGATTGATAGATGGGATGGATATATGGATCTAACAATAAACAGACAGATAGACAGGCAAACAGACATGCAGGTAGACAGACAGACAGGCAGGCAAACAGGCAGGAAGACAGCTAGACAGGCAGGGAGAGAGAGATATATAAATAGATCCCTTTGCATACTTTGGAAAGTATGTTTTTATTACATACCCCCTTTGTGTATGTGTCCTTTTTGTTGGAAGTATTTCAAGATCTCGTTGATCAGTTTTGACATTCTGGATCCTCTCAAATGCCATAACATTTGCATCGGTCGATGCGATTGGTTTATTATTTTGCTTCACAGGTGATGATGTTTTTAGATATGCTGGAATCATTTCCATACATGTTTGATCTAGTAAGAAAGAAAATATTCGTTTGAATTGTCTTTATATGAACGGGTACTGGAGGTCATTAGAAAGAAAGCAATGCTACCACATGGTTTACCTCTTGAAACATTCACATTCGGTGGCTGATTCAAAAGTTCGTGTATGTTATATTAAAACAGATTTAAGTAACGAGCATGTCTACGGTACAATCATACAAAATCGTCCATAATCATTTAAGTTAAACATAAAAAAGAGCTTGCTCCGTGTTCGGTAGGTCGTGCGTTAAAATATCGGGAACGTACCACTGCACACATCGCTCACCTGAGCACTTTAGCTAAGAAAAGGTAGATTATTTATCAGTTAAGTTTTGAAAAGTATAAATATGACCATTCATAGCTTTCCTGTTCTCGAGAAGAACATTTTACCTATGTATTCCTATGTAAAACGTTGATCTCCTATTGTTCCCCCTTCCCCCGTTCCAACACCCAGATCATAATCTGAACAACCATGAATTTACAAATCTGAGGATGCTTATAAACAAATATTACCAAACCTGACTTTTATGTACTTGAAAAGAAAATTTTAAAGATTTTTCCTATATATTCTTAAATAAAACTTTTATTACCAATGCTGGCATCACCCCATCCCCAGGGATCATTATTTGAAAAAAAAATATCTATACTACCTCAGAATGCTTTCATATAAATATGTCCTATAACTTGCATTGCTGTTTTCAAGAAGATGATTTTAAAAGATATTTCCTTATGATGTAAGAACATGGCCCCCGGAGGAAGGGTGAAGCCATGAAGAGAGATTGAGGAATGTGTTTTCATAGGAACACAAAGAAAAAGTCTCTTCTGAAAAAAAGTCTGAACATCAAAGCCATGATTAGTCATATAAATTTACAAGACTTAAACAACTGATCGAGACCCCTTGTCACGGTTGGCGTTGGCACGATAAAGATCACTCACTGTTCAATGGTCCTTGCTATAGGAAACGCACTCTGTGCCGCTCGGCCTCTAGACATTGCAATAACATGGACAAAGCTTGCTTTCGATGCCGATTAAATTTCTCGGAGTGCAACCCTACTCTACACGATCATTGACATTACAAGTGAAACACAGTCATCTGAAGTTTAATTTTACTACAGAATCATTTCTAATACACATTTTAATAAAATTTAATATATATGTTATGCACATTTAATTAAGAACAGCTCTTAAACTAACGTACATGTAACTCCCTTAAGCATGCTAAGTGAAGAAATATTCAAACAAAAGTACAAAGTACTTCACTTTCTTTTTGACAAGGATACATGTGCCCACTTCCGCCTCAACCCGATTTTGAACTCAAGACCTATACGGAGTCTGTCTCTCAACGGATCAGTCCATATCTAAAATTCATATTATTAGTGTAAGTTTGTAAATATGTTTAAACACTTACATTTAAAAAAATCACTTGAATTGTACGTAAAGGGACATTCAGAACAATGTAAGTTGTAATCAGTTATAACTCGTCCATATCCTTCATTGAATTGGATACAATGTTGACCTACAAAATAGAAACGAGACTTACTTTCAAGGAACTGTATGTTATTTGTCTCATACTAGAAACCTACCACTATTTTGTTAATCCTGTATTCTTCATATTTTCATTTATCTAATCAAAACTTTAAAGAAGTACCTAATATCTCCTCCACTGGTGAACACACTTCTATGAGGTGGTCTTTAAAGCGCACACAGTGATAAACAAATGCTTTTTCTGAGCACGAAGAATGAGGTAAATTTTGACATCCTTTATTTAAAGATGCTGATTTTAAAGATATTGGATTCGACGGACAGTGCGTCACACGAACAATTGTATGTACTGTTTCACTGCAGGACTTTTTCTAAATTTGAAATGAATATAGATAAAGCTATAAGAAACAGGAATTTGCAGACAATATTGATTATGCTCATCTAAGATTTTAAGATAAAACCTTAAACAATATTGATTGAATGATTGTATTTTGTTTTACGTTTCATAAATAATAGTGCAATAATGTTCTATCCTTACATGCGGAGATCTCCTCTGAATGAGAGCATTTTTACAGTCCACGAAGGATAATGTTGATAGTAATAACTTGATGAGGTAGAAGGCGAGTGTGAATCGCATTAAACGTAACATCATGAGATACTTTTGCTTCTGAACTCGAGGGGGAAGGGGTCTACAATTGACTTTTAATGCTCTGAAATTACAAGAGATATCAATATAATATAGATTGTTAATGACCAATTTTTTTTTTCATTTAAAGCAAATACATGTATATATTTTTTTTTTAATTTCACGACACTTTCATTTGCATATCTTTGAAAAATTAGAAATAATATCAAGATGAAATATTTCTTTGATACAAATTTCCCCATTTTATTTATCTTATTCTATTTTAATTATTATTATTATTTTGAATTCCCAACACTAATTTTCATGAACAACAATAGCATACAATTCAAAGGAAAATTGTTTGAAGCCTAAAATGTTTCTTACTGCAGAAATGAATATTATGCCTAATCACAATATAAAGACAACTTAAAATGGTGTGCATATAGAAAGATCAATATTTTTTTTATCTCACCATAGAACTAAAAATATGAGGTTTATATGTAACTTTCATTTACTACTATGCCCAGTCAATTCCCATTAGATAGCATGTTATTTTTTTTAATTAGGAGTGATATTATAATAGATCAAAATATCTCACTTTTAACAGTTTAAAATACCCTAGTATACATGTTCTAGGTAAGCTATTATAAGTTATGAATAAAATATTGGAAATAGATAACAGAAATCAATATTTGTAACATAAAACATATTTGTATGAGTACACTTTGTAATGGTCCTAATCATTTAACAATAAAATGCTTTCTTTGTTTGTTATTACTGGAACTAACGGAAGCAGCTGCTGCAGAAAAAATCCATAACCTGCATACGGGTTATGTACATTTTTTCTGTAATAGCTGTGACCGTTAATCGTAGTTATTACAAACAAAGAAAGACATTCTATTTTTCATATTCATATCTGTTTAAATAATCATTTAAAGTAGGATTGAAAAAAAGAATTATTGTATTAATGATGCGAACTTCTTTATACGTGTCATTGATGGAACAGCCATTGATCAAGAAATCTGTACAGGTGATATGACTTATGTAGTTCATACAGTGATTACAGCAATGCGTTTTCTTAAGATATAAAGGAAAAAATATTCAGTGGATGTAAATATAATTTAGTAAGACATTGGTAGTAAAATCAGGGTACGTATAATATTCTCATGCACTGAAATCAACCTCAAACCATGAGTAACACGTAATATAATCTTGTTTTGACTGACCCACATTTGGTATATTCAAAAACGTGTTTACATTATATTTGATCTTCAAAAAGAAGAGTTCATATGACTCATGTCAGTCTTTTTACAAAATCATTAGTATATATTCCTTTTGTGCAGATCAAGTGAACTGAATATTGATTTTTTTTTGTGATGTGCCAGAAAATCTGTTTATAATGATTCGCAGTTAAACATTTCAATAATTTCTAAACGTTATATTAAATAAGGCAAACATCACCGTGACTATAAATGTTCTACACAACTCTCCATTTCTTTTTAAATCAATTCTAGCATAATATACAAAAAACGGAATATTTCTTAGGTTTAAAGATACATGTTCCACCCGTGTTATCTTGCGCTAAAAAAGTGAGAGAGAAAAAACATGGAAGAAATAACTATAATAAAAAACAATGATAAAAGCAACTTAGAAAACTTGTAATTGAACATATCATACTAATACTATGCAAAGAAGAATGTTACCTTTTTCTTACTTTTGGTTTTACTTATTACCCGAAATGAAATCTTTACCTTAAAAGCTTTAGCTACAATCCAACATTGAGAAAATATCAAGATTCATCATGTATACCGAGGCAGATATGTATTAGCATTTACCTTTTACTGAATAGGGTCCGCCAACGGCTTATCTCCCCCTTGCGCCGCTAGAGGCGCTGGTGTACTATGAGGTATTCTAGATAAACATGGCGTACGCTTCGTACACAGTGCCGAAACTGAAAAAAAGAATTAATATTACGCGGCGCTGTAACTACGGGAAGGAAAACCGATCTCATAGAAAGGTAAGAAAACATTTATTTTATTACATGCAAACATTATTCATTGAAGTAATCCTTATATAACTTGTATTATCATGATTATAACGGTATGGTCGAGGGTCCTATAGTCGTGCGTGCCCAGTAGTCGTGCACCATTTTGGTTATTGTCAAAAGTTTGTCACGTGCTATGATATTACGTCATAAACAACTGATTTTCATAGAAGAGAAAAGGAAGTGCTTACTCTGAAACAAAAAGTCAAATATGCGGAGGAAACATTTATAAATTAATCAAATAAACATAAGCATCAATGAAAGCCGCCATATTGCTAATACTCTTTTAAAAGTTTCTATATATATGCTCTTCCTGCAAGAAAGCGCCACCTATGGACACGGCGAGCACATGGCTAATTAGCATAATCATACGTGATGATCAATGGGTATTTTATGTTTTTCCTTTTGTCATGAATTTTAAAAGATGACTTCATAAAAATGCTATAGTTCTTATACTGAAATACGTAATTATTACATAGAAATACGTGTAAATAAATAGTGATGAAAAACTTATGACTTAATTTAGAAGAACAATCGTAAACCTAATAAAATCAAATAAATTCTAAAAATGATTGAATTGATCCTTGAATTATAACATTTGAGTCACCTGAAATTTGTTTTTATTTTGTTTTCATTTTTCTTGGCCCAATATTTGCTGCTTCATTCAAGCGCACGACTACTGGTCCAAAACAAATATGGCCGACGTAAA